CCCCAAAACCCCAAAACCCCAAAACCCCAAAACCCCGAGCGAAATTGTAAGTAATTGTAGAAGTCTAGTAAAGATTAACAATTTTCAATAATGATAATCAAATGTGTTATTCAAGAAGATGAGTCTATAATCAATTATTATTATTAGCGTTTTTGTTTTCTTGATATGTGCTGAAAGCAGCAAATTAAGCCTTATTTTAAGTCATTCCTGGTTATCCTTTATTTGAGTTGGAATTATTCCCAATTGCGTTTAAACCAACTCCAGAATTTAAGAAAGTATTACTTTAGCTAACATTTCTCTATTAGCCTCTGTTACTATGGATCTAGAAAGCAGCTTACTTTGTACTGTTATCAGCCCCAAAGTTCAAATTATCTTAGCCATCATTTCTTGGACGGCTATTGTACCTGGATTATCTTTGGAAGACTCCTGTAGGAATATTACTCAAAATATTGAAGTCTCTGGAGTGCTTTTGTACCACATCTGGAAGCTATGATTCTAGTTGTCTTTTCCCCTTATCCTTGTTTCCAAAGTAGTCATGGAAGTATTTCTAATGATTTTAACTATCAAACGCTTTCTTGTCTGTGTTCATTGCAAGTAGCTATGCACCTATATCAGGTCGCTTGAGTGGACTTAGAGGTTGTAACATGTTAGGGTTATCTTACTTATGAGTAAATTAGTGTTATGTCTGAAGGAAGGAACTCTTACCAATATTGAGATTAGTAGTGTTACCTGGCACATTAATCTTACTGATTGCACAAGATGGATAGTTTTCAGGCTTATAAACCTTTTTAAAGAAAGTAGCTGGATATCTTCCCATTTGAACTTTGATATTATTTCTATATAATCTATTTAAAGGGCTTGTAGGATAAAGAGTATCAGCATCAAGGGCGGCCTTCTTTCCATTCTATTATGATCTAAGGAAAACCTGAGATGATTGAGATCTAGTCAAATTTTGAGAGTTACTGAGTGATTTATCGGTATTTTAAGTAGGAACCTACTCTTTTATTGAATCCTTTTTAATATTGAAATTCTGCATAGTGTTCATAAAATTTTAGGATTTTTTATCCATCGCTTAAGGTGATTAATCACCAGGAGACAAGGCTCTGCTATTTTGAGCATACCGTGTATTAAAACCTACAGCCTAGTCCTTAGGCATTCCAAAATAATTGAAATTTTATTAAACTGCAGCATCTTAATAGCCACCTTCTCTTTTTGGTGATTGTGAACCATTATGTGATCTCATGAATGTCTCATATGATTTTCTCATCAAGTTCTCTTCTTTTACGACTCTCATTTAGTGAAAAGCGGACTCTTAGTTCTCAGATTTGAATATATAGAGAGGTCTGTGGGTAGGCGTTGCCAAATAGCTCATACTTATTTATTTTTAATAAAATATCGAATATAAATATAATAAAAAAAAGCTTCATTAAATTCAGATAAATAAATTCAATTTATTAATGGGATTATTCGGATCAAAAAGTTAACTGAAGCAAGTCTTGCTAACTGGGCCAGAGGGAGCAGGGAAAACAACATTACTTTATCAAATGATTTTAAGAAAAAAAGAGTGGAGAGCTACCCCTACTATTGGCTTCAATTACGAGGAAATATAAAGTGAAAGAGGTGACAGAGCTGGAATTTGGGATGTTGGAGGCTCAGCCTCAGTATGTAAACATTAAATTTTGTTAAACCTTATATTAACAGACATAAATGGTAATTTCTTCAATATACAAGAATGTTTACTTTTCTGGACTACTTTATGTGATGAATATTGATGATCCTGAACATATCAATATTGCAAGGAAGGAATTGTAATGATTGTTGAATGAAGATGAACTAAGACATGTATAAACTTTGGGAATAGTGCTGGCAATAAGACAACCTTCTTCTCAGACGACAGCTAGTACAAATAAATAGACCAATTTTTAGCTCTAGCCTCAAGAAACTAATACCTTTTCAAAGAATTAGCCAATCAAAGTAAAATTTATGTCTTTAAGTATTGATAAATTAGCTTGAATTGAATTCTGAGTAAAAGTCAAAGAGAAAAAAGTAAGTCATGGATGAACTTGACCTCGAGAGTCTGAATAAAAACATCTAGATACTTAGCGAGATATTTGACATTGTGCATTAAAAAGAAGAAAGGCTTTCATTTGTAGAAAAGATACTCAAATCTGTTAATGATCAATCTAGATGAATGAAATAATACAATAACATGAAAAATAGAGAGCTTAAGTGTGAATATCTAAGCAATATTTAAGCATTATTATTCATTTTTCAAGTTTAGCCAATTGAAAACAAGGGGTTTTGGGGTTTTGGGGTTTTGGGG